ATACATGTCCTTAATTGCCATAACATAAGGAACCAACATACCTTTTGCCTCTAAGCATCTCCAAAGAACTTCTCTAGGAACCTTGTCATAAGCTTTCTCTAGGTCAATAAACACCGTATACAAATCCTTCTTTCTCTCTCTACAGTTCCACCAACCTCCTAACAAGGTGTATAGCTTCTGTGGTGGAACGACCCGGCATGAACCCGAATTGGAATAAATCAGTGAAAAATAAATGCTTCATAGCTGTACAATTACCTACATAATTGTCAGGAAATGATGAAATGTCAAAATAATAGATCAAGTCTCTTTGCTTTTGGTCATTTATGATTTATCATCATTAGTCATGCACTATTATACAGAAAACAGGCAGATGGACATGAAACTCATGGTACTGGATAGTGCAAGAAGTGTTTTCATCAATATGCCCAGCTAACCAATAAATCAGTACAACAACTACTACGCTTCAGTCCCAAACAAATTGGGACGGCTAGTCAACAAATCCCTTTCTGGCCACAAAACACTTCTAGTCATACAAGGGTAAATTAGACTTTAAAAGTACTTACATAGGAAGGATTGACACATATCAGAAGCAATGATGCATGCAGACAAATATACTCAAAACATAAAGCATGTCAGAGGGTTGTAATGTAATACTCCCCCCGTTTCAATTTATGTGAACCTATTTCCTTTTTAGTCCGTGCCAAAAAGAATTACCCCTTTTCATATTTAGAAACAATTTCCATTTATGCAATGATTTCTAGCCACACAAATTTTTGTGCCCCATTTTACACCACAATTTCAAAAGTCTTCTAGGGGTGGGCGTCAGCCGGTCGGTTCGGTTTTCATGAAGTTCGGTTCAGTTTTCGGTTTTCTATTTGATGCACCAATAACCGAACCAAAATTAGTTCAGTTTCTTCTGTTTTTGCTAATTTGGTTTGGTCGATTTTCGGTTCAATTCGGTCGGTTTGGTCTTGTCGTATTGAGCTTTTAAATTGGACTTTTTCTACTAAACAATATGACTAATTTCATATTTTAATGCAACTATAACTCCAAAATGCGATACTTATAATATGATTAGTCAAATCATTTAGTTGATGTACGAAATATAAATTTATTTGACAAATACTACTTACAATATAATTATCTCGTAGAGACTTAGACAATCATCTAGAAGCATAATCTAAGCAAGTTCAAATGAGAAGAGAATTAGTATCTATTATATAAAAGGTTTTCTACTTTAGATCTCACACTTCCCGTGAAACATAAACAAATATTAAGTTATAGTAAGAATACTGTTTTCTTCCATTTCAGTAATAACTATTTCTTCTAAAAACTGAAAGAGACGGTGGCAAACAAAGATGAATGTCATTATACCACAGCAATATTGGCGATGCACAAACAAACAATGATGAAAAATGCATTGGCAAACAAAAAGGGATAATTTTTAGAAATGTGGGACTTTATTTGGGTTTGGGCTTCTAATTTTATAATTTAAATATATGAAAAAGTTGGGCTAGACAACTTAAGAGGAGCCTAAAGGCTTAGGACCCATATTAGAAAACTTCGATTTTCGGTTTAACCGAAAACAGAAGTTGCAAAACCGAGTACCGAACCGAAAACCGAAATTATAAAAAACATAAACCGCAAACCGACCGAATAAGCCGAAAAACCGAAACCGAATAAATGGAAGTTTACAGTTCGGTCGGTTTTTTCGGTTCGGTCGGCATTATTCCCACCCCTAAAGTCTTCTCTTTTTTCTTGAACTACATGTCCAGTCAAATAGATTCACATAAATTGAAATGGAAGGAGTATATATTTGTTTCTTTAGCCCAAAAATAATATTGGGTCCATCCAATTTTATGCGACTCTACTTAACAAGGATCCAAGTTTGAGGGTTGTTTGGAGATTCTGAAATCAAGATGGGATTCCATCTAATCTGAATCTACTCTAAAATCTACTTCAAAAATGATCTATCTGTACTTTAATCCAACTTGTATTTGATATCAATTTGGTAAATATTCGACGTTCACAATTTAACTTCGTTTAGCAATTTAATTGGACTACATCATTATCTTTTTATTATAAATAACAAACAGTACTTAAAAGAAAGTCACCGACTAAAGTAATTTCCATATATTTCAGCTGCAGTCATACTAATTCCTGCATTTTGGTGTTTTAAACTGTTTCTCTCCATTACTCCAGTACAGTTCATTGATGCTTAGTTTAGTCTCCTCCGTGGAGAAGGAGTACCTAGAGGTGAAAAAAGATGCACATCTGCAAGACTGTAACCAACGCCACGAAGATAAGAAGATAAGCGCTACTATGATAGAGGTAAATATTTAAAGAAACTTCATAAATGAGCATACCCACGAACAGTCATTATCAGCAAGAGCCATAACATCTCGCACTCTTAGCATCTGATTCCATAATGGTCGAATTCCCTGATGTGATACATTCGAATCACAAGGATCTAGCGCAAGTTTTTTCAGCTGAGCTACCATTTCTGCATCGGAGTACCTCCCAAATATCAATTTTCCTGGCGAGTTACACAAAGCTACTTCTTCCATACTTCCTCCCTCCTTCACACCCTCCAACGGAGCCATTTCAGCTCCACTATTTGCTGTCTTTCCCGATTTCAACCCTGAAATTGAAAGTAATGCAACACAAGGTCAATGAAGTGGGAGGAGAATCATGAATTCTCAGTTTCAAATCCCACCAGAGGCTAAAGCTGACCAAGACACCGTCATTCAAAAAAAAAAAAAAAGAGTAATGAAACAGGTACAAATGATTATATACTCAAATCGTAAATTCAGTAAAAACGGAGCATATTCATATTTTGAATTGCATCATGGATAGATCTAGGCTATCACAACTGGTGCTATCACATATACTGACGCAGTTGAATACTAGAGACTTGCGAGTTTTTAGCTCAGCTCAGTAGAATTATCCGGATTAATTAACTTTAATTTATTCATTTACTGCATTATCAAATCAGCTCATTACATATTCAATGATCAGAGTGATCATCAGGAATCCAAAACTAAAACCCCACGCGCGGAAGTTATTCGTACATCAACATCAAAATTGACACGCGCCGGAGCTGAAATTCCCCCGGAAAAAGGATAACCCTAACCCTAGATAACTGAGGTGTTCATCGGCGAGCCGTTTGTAATATTATAGCAAATGTGGGTAATACATACCTTTAAGGTTGCTGCTTCTGTTGACGCTTATTGCCTTGAAGAATACCGTCTCTCTTTTTTTTCTTCTTCTTTTTTTTAAGTTTTTGTTTTTGAGCAAAATTCTACAACTCTTCCGTCTAAGAAGTGAGGGTAGGTATATCAATAAGGTGGTTTGATGAAATTTGAAGGGGTCAAAATAAGTTGTGTCACTATTACATCATGATCCAACCCGTCTAAAGTTACTAAGATAACCGGGGAATATTTTCATATATACTTACTTTTGGGACCATACTGCATAAAATTTTGTAAAGTATACCCGTTTCGATCTGAAGTAGTTCAATATCTTCAATTCAACCTTAGAAATCAAACCTGAATTTATTCTATGTTTCAAATGCAACTTTAGAAATTCGAATCTAAAGTAGTTCAATCTTTTAAATGAAACTTCAAAAATCAAATCTCAAGTTCTTCTATCTTTCAAATGCATTTTATCTATCAATCAGAAAAGCGAAGCGAGTTCCATTACGTATTGATTGGTGAGCTAATCAATATCAAATATGAAAAGGAAATCGTTAAATTATTCAATTAGATAATAATTGAACAATTTAAGAATAATTGAATTCTTTTTTCAAGTTGATTCAAATTATTCGAACGTTTTATTACTTATTTATTTTTGTTTGGCGTACAAAAAAACTTTTTGAATTCCCGGTAGAAAGAGATTTCGAACTTCAGAAATTTAAATATTAAGTAGTTCAATTAATTGAATGCAACTTCAGATTTAGAATCTTAAGTTCTAAAATGTAAACTCATTCTTCGAATTTCAACAATTCAATACACGATTCAACGCCCAAAATCTAGCTCAAAGTTGAAACAAATTTTTTAAGTATCATAAAGAATAAATCTCAATCATCAAATGATCAAAACAACAATAAATTTAACAAACCCATTTTCCAACTAAGAAGAAGAAGAAGAAGAAATTCTAAGCACAAAGAAAAAGAAAACAACGATAAAGGAGAAGAGAAAAGTATATGTATCTGAAGTTATTTCAAAATTAAGTATTAGTTAATTTTTTTTTTAAAAGTGGACACAAAATCAGTGGGTAGCACAAAATTGGGCACCACACGAAATTTTACGATATTTAGTTCATTTTGGGCTTCTATTCTCAACTTAATTGGGTGGTGCTATTTAAATTTGGAATTTTTGCCTCCTACAGCAAAGTTTAACACCTTATTTATTTTAAATAAATACTATTTTAAAAAATTATATTATATAGATACCTTTTAATGTTTATAGCAGAATATCTAATTTTGGTTACCTCTTACCCTTAAGCCACTAATATTCAGTTACACTATTTTCTTTCTCTCTTTACTTTGATACATGTCATTCTCTTCCCCATAAAAAACCAAAAAAACGTATAGAAAGAGAGACGCACGACAAGAATGACGACGGTAAATGGATTTTCTCAATCAATCATTTCTTCTTCTTAACTAAGTAAACACAACAGATTTTTGTCGTTTACTCTGTCAACGTATCACGCTGTATTTCAATGTATTTTCAACGTATCATGCTGTATTTTCATGTATTTCATTGTATTCATTGTCTTTTTTCATTGTAATTCAATGTATCTCGCTGTATTCCATGTATTTCATTGTATTCATTGTCTTTTTTCATTGTAATTCAATGTATCTCGCTGTATTCCATGTATTTCATTGTATTCACTGTCTTTTCCCCCCCATTGTATTTCAATGTATCCCACTGTATTCTATGTATTTCATTGTATTCACTGTCTCGCTATATGCCATGAATGTATTCATATGTTTTTTTAATTAATATAATTTATGTATTCAGATGTATTATATAATTTCTCTGAAGATTGCTATGTTTTGGGGTATTATTCGGTTGAGAATTTTTTCTATAACTGAAAATACAAAATTTGTGTGTTATAATTGAGTTTGTTGAGTTATATTAGGAGTCTATTATGTTAATTGATTCACTTTACGTTTAAAAACAGTGTAATCCCCTGTTTCACGCCATGAATACAGTCGAATACAATAATCTGTCCAGCTGTAATCCCATGTTTCACGCCATGAATACAGTCGAATACAACAACTGATTAGCTGGACTTCCCTGATTCACGCCTATTTTTGCTACTGTATTCATGAATACATTAGCTTAAATACATCTAATATATCTTATAACAACAGAAATCGTATCTACAATCCGTAATATAGCAAATGATATCTATAGATAGCTAATTACCACTAAAAGATAGTGCTTTATGAAAATTTCTCTTTAAATAATGCTGGAGAAATGACACTGTATAGCTACTCTCAAATTAATAACCGATATATATATATATTTTTTGTATANTTTTAACTCTTTAAAAAAAAAAAACTCAAAAAAATAGCCTTCAGTCAAAATTTTGAGAAGTGTTCCTAGTAGTCGCCAGAATTTTTCATACGATGATCACCAGAATTTACCACAAAATCCAACGGATCATCAAGAATTTTTCAGTATTATGGCTAAAATCCTAACGATCATCATAACTATCTATTAAGGAAAATCCAGATGATTGCCAAGAGTGCTTTTCAAATTCTGACCGAAGGCTATTTTTCTAAGATTTTTCTTAACGGATCAAAATTTAAATGGTAATCCTAAAAAGGTCCATTCAGCGTAATCTCAGCAACCTAATTTGTCCAAATGGATTGCACTTGTATGTGTTGAATTTGACACCTCGATCGAGAAAAGATTCATGAGTAGCTTAAAAATAGAGTTGTCAAAATGGACATAGCATGTGAAGCCAACTCAACCAACCCTCTAATTGTATGGAGTTGGCTAAGAATTTTTTCAGCTCATTCAAATCTAATTTAGTTAGAATTTGGGTTGAAATAGCGTGGGATAACCACTTTTAACAGGATATTTAGTTTTATCCAGTATTTTTAATGCTGAACAAAAATAATCATTACTCTATTAAAATTAATATGAAAGATGTTTTTACTTTTTCTTTATGAGTGCTGTGTAAATATTAAGGACATGGTGTCCTTAACATTTACACTGCACATGAGGTTAAAGACGCCATGTCCTTAACATTTACATTCCACATATGAAGTTAATGACATGATGTCCTAAAGTTTAACAACGGAAGGTGCAAATACTGGACACATTGTCCTTAATATTTACACAGTATTCATGAAGTTAAGGACACCATGTTCTTCATATTTACACAACACTCATAAAGTTAATGACACTATGTCCTTAACATTTACACTGCACACATGAAGTTAAGGACACCATGTCCTTAATATTTACACTGCACATATGAAGTTAAGGACATGCGGTCCTAAGGTTTAACAACAGAAGGTGCAAATACAAGTTAAGAACATTATGTCCTTAACATTTACACTGCACACATAAAGTTAAGGACGCCATGTCCTTAATATTTACACTACACATATGAAGTTAAGGACATGATGTCCTAAAGTTTAACAACGGAAGGTGCAAATATAGGACACTTTGTCCTTAATATTTACACAATATTCATGAAGTTAAGGACACCATGTCCTTAATATTTACACAGTATTCATGTCTAGCACAGGGGTATTTTCGTCGACGGGTAAAAATTTATTAAGCACTGGCTAAAGAATAAATACATTTTAAACAATGGCTAAAGAGTAAAGACATCTCTATTTAGTGGCTAACTGTGCACTTCCCTCTAAATTTGGTTGTTCTCCTCATCAGATGAGTTGCCTGATTAGGCCACATTAAAAAAAAAAACCTCATAAAAGGATCAATTGATTAAAGAAAATGAGAATAAATCAACCCTAGACTAAATTAAAATAACTCAAATATCTTTCTTGTACCTTTTAAATTACTTACTTGTTCCTATAAAATTTCTTATCTTTTGCTTGTGATTGGTGAATATTAAATAATCGGTTTTATTTGCTCTAAAATTTATTCATTCAACTCTTCTTTGTTTGGTTATGTCTAAATCATGATAGAATTATTCAGCAAACATTAGAAATAAAGAGCAATGTGATTGAGCTAAGTGTGATTATTAGTTTGAAATCTTCTTTTTTTTTGTATTTTTTTGATTCATACCTATGTAGCTATAAATTTATTTATTTTTCTAATTTTTACTCGTTGTTTTAATGTCAATTGCTTTCCACAATAATTTGAATTTTTTTCGAGAGCATTTGTTTTCAAATTACCACTTTACTATTGGTAATGATCAAGATTCTACAGCTGCACGTGAAATAACTGGAAAACCAGCAGTTGGTACGCCTACTGCTGTTGCATTGAATAGTTCTGTTGATGCTGCTATATCTAGGAGTGTTAAACAGGCTGCTGCAGTTGATCTTGTTGAAAAACCATCAGGTCCTAAGGCTACAGGTGTGCTTGTTGATGGGCAGGTACTTAATACTCCAAGGCAATCTGCTACAGCTCCAAACAAATCAAATACAAAGAGTAACAAATGGACAGTGGTGAATAAATCACCTAGCAAGAAGCGATCTCCAGGTGTGCAAAATCAGATTGTACCATCAAATGTCATTGGGGTCTCGAATTCTTTTGATGCTTTGGTGAATGAGGGTGAGCATGTTACGAAGGAGGCTAAAAATCAGGAGCAACAGATGGATGACGAGACACGATCAGTGGCTGGAAAAACCAGCTCTACAGGTAGTGAAAAGCAGCAAAAAAATGCAAAGGACGTAGGTGCTCGACTTGAGATCGCAACTGTTGATAATCACACTGGTGAGGCAAGTCAAATACCTGCTGCAGCTACACCAACACCAACACTGCATATTTCCAATCCGGAGCTAGCTAAAATGGTAAAGGATGCCCAGGCAGCTATGATGATGAACACAACTCCAAAAAATAGGCAACCACAAGCTCCAGGCAGTAGCAAACAACAACAACTTTCGAAGAACACAGGTGGTCGACTAATTGTTTCGAAGGACATTATTCCTGTTGATGCGCAAAAGGCCGAGGCACACAGTTCTAATACTCCTACGCTGCATTTTTCAAGTCCTCATGTGGAACAAATTATTAAAGAAGCCCAGAATGCAATGATGCTCAATACTAATATGGTTAAACAACCATTGGTCACGTTGAACACATCCGTCTTTGAAGTACCATCACAATCTTTGGAGTCATTTGGAGAGTATGGAGGTGATACTGGGCAGTTAGTGCTGTCCACTGGA